CCCCAAAACCCCAAAACCCCAACAGAATATATCTGAAATTAAAAACTTTTGTAATATTTGGTAAGAAAATTATTAAAGATAGAATTTAAAAGAAATTAACAAAATTTAATAAATCACTTGGTTTATAACAAATTATAAGGTTATAGGTTCATTCTAGATCATAAATTGACTGGATTTTTATTAATATTTACTCATTCATTCATCTAATTTAACTATTGCTTCTTATTTCTCTGCTACTCGGTCCTTTTTATGATAGAATCGTTTTAAGCTGTGGTATCTAAATTTGTTTGATGTTTTCCATACTAGATAAATCCTTGTTCTCGACACCCATTATATCACAGAACCTATCAAAGTTAATACCCTACTATTAATCTCTCTCATCCATAGTCTATCTTCTACCTTTATATGGAATAGTTAATCCTACCTCTGAAGCCATTTTATTGAATCTGTCTTCAACAAAGTCTCCTTTTCTTTGAAAGATTTATCTTAATGTATCGTAGGTCAGCAATTCTAAATTATCAGAATCCAAATACTTATAAACCTTCCAAAGATTATCTTTGCTCAAAAGACCTCTGTCAAGAGTGCATGAAACAAATTCGGAGTAATTGATCTCTCCGTTCTAGTCATAGTCAACTTTCCTAATAATCTCGTCAATATCTTCTTCCTTTCTTGCCTGACCAGCTTGTCTAAATGCATTTTGTAATTCTGCCATCGATATAGCGCCCGAGGAATCCTCATCAATAGCTGAGAATGTATCTCTTATTTCTTTTAATTCTTTACTATTCAGCAAAGCCCCTAATAAAAGGAGAATTTCTCTTTGGAAAATATTAGGTTTTTTGAATAAGGCTAAACGTGTCATTACAGATCTGCTTATTTACTCTCTGGGCGCAGATCTTATCCAGCGATGTGCTAGTGCTTTTTCTGGTGACATTCTTAGTTTGGAGTTTGGGAGAATAAGGCATTGAATGAAATTCTTGGCATCCTCACTAACTGAACTCCACTCTGGATGGTGGAACTCGTAGTCGCACAACTTGATCTTCCTAAACAACTGCTAATCTGTCTCAGCATTAAACGGTGGATAGCCGCAGAGTAAGCAGTAGGTGATAACTCCTATACTCCACATATCACAAGTCTCATCATAAGCACCCTCCAAAACTTCAGGAGCCATATAATAAGGAGTTCCAATCTTGGTCTTCATTAAATGGTTACTGTCTTTTGGACTGAAATACTTAGCTAGTCCGAAGTCAATTAGCTTTACTTAAGCCTCTTTACTCTTACTTTCAAATAGAATATTTTCAGGCTTCAAGTCTCTATGGCAGATGCCTTTATCATGGAGATGCTTGATGGCTGACAGGACTTGCTTTATTATCTTGGCAGCATAGGACTCACTAAACTTGCCTCTTTAAATAATATGCTCGAATAACTCACCACCACCGCAAAACTCTGTTACTAGATGGAAATAGTGGTCATCTACAAATGTCTCATAAAATTAGATGATGTTTGGGTGATCTACAGACTTTAATATCTCAAACTCTTATTCGAATTGATTGATATCGGCATTCATTTTCTGTCTGGAGATTGATTTGAGAGCAAATCTCTTTCTTTCAAATGATTTACGTTGGCATAGCCTAACTACCCCATACTTCCCACTACCAATTTCTTTACCTATATTGTAGTAGTTCTGTATATTTTCTTTGACAAACTCTGAGCTGAAATCTTTCTCATTGAGTTTCGTCCGACTGATTTTCTAGCCAGAGTAATCACTGTTTGTGTCATTTTCAGTCCCTTGTCGGTCGTTTTCTCTTTCTTAGGTAGTAGTTCTTCTTTGTGATCCCTCCTCTCCGCCAGTAATTCTGTTCTTATTATTGTATGGCTTGCGCTCTTATTTCAACGGCTGTATAATTCTAGACTGCTCAGGAGTATTAAAATCCTCATAATCTCTAAATTTAGCATCGTTAGTGCAGCAGCATTTATCAAGTATCAAACCCATTTTATAGTTCAAGCACACAAGAATCTGAATATTTATAAAAATTAGCTAATTTATATTTATCTTATATTATCTCAATTTGTTTAACTCACAATTTATTTTGGGAAGCTACGATTTACCAGTATTTTATTATCACGGGGTTTTGGGGTTTTGGGGTTTTGGGGTTTTGGGG